CATGTTGGTCTTAGACTATTTATAAGTAGGCATTGGTATAATGTAATATCAGATATAATATCAGATGAGCATGTTAATAATTAATAAAACGCTTAAATAAATAAATTTAAAAGGTGCTCATTTACACCATTCTTTAAATGGGGTAAATGATCATCTTTTGAATTTACTGGTTTTTATTCTTATAATAATTTGGATAATAAAATTAATATTTAAAGATACAAATAACTTGATTTTTGTAACATTTAAAGATACAAATAATTTTTTTTTTTTTTTTTTATATATATTTTTTACAACTACATAGTATAAACAATACATACTTTTATTACAAATAGTTTTAACAATATATACTTTTATTGCAAATACAGTCAAAATGCTTCAAAAATAACTGAAATAATATTAAGAAATAATATTTGTTTTTTTGAGTTTTTAACTCATTTTTTTATAACAGATTTGTGAAAATAATGAGAAAATATTTAAAATCAACTCAAAAACAGTCCAAAACTCTGATAGTGAACTTAAAAGAGTTATCAAACTTGTTAATGATGGAGAACCTTGTAAATGTGTGGCAAAGCTACTAAACATATTACACAGTCCTTGAAGATACAATTTTATTTAATATTTTTTTGTGATTATTTTTTTGTTATTTTGAGTTTTATTGAGTTCCATTAAAAAAAGTACACCTTAGGAAACTGGTTTTCTAAGAGGAAATGATTGTGTGTGTTAAAGAAAACGCAATTTTTTATATACAGATTTTTTTTTTAATGGACTATTCATTTATATTCTTTTAAAGGAAAGACGAAGTTATTATTCTTAAAAAAATATATATTATTTTGTAATCTTTTGGGAGCATAATACATTACACTGAAAACATGCTCAACTTACGCAACATTCCCCTACCATTAAGAAAATAATAATAGATAAAAAAACCAAAAGATGTCTTTTTTAGGTCCGGTGCCCACTGGGTAAGACAATTTTAAAATATCATAGCGTCTGTATGATATTTTGTTGACTACACCATATTTCCGTTACATGATCAGGTGATATTTTCATTATGAAAATACGAAAAAAATTAAAATGATAAGTTTTGAGTTATCATCAAATATAAATGTTTGTAGCGAAAAAACCCAAACCAAAGATTCTTTTTTTAAAAAACAAAAATCTTACTAAAATCGCGATTGTTCGTTCAAATTTGAAAAAGATTTTAAATAAATACGCTTTTTAGGTGAAATGAACATCATCAGTTTAACAATATGATATGTTCTGATTGTTTATTGGCAAAATTTCTTAAATTTTTATATGCTCTTTCTTTAACGAAATTCTTCTATTTTTTGTGAAAATTGATAGAAATATTGTATTTTGACAACTATATATAGTTAATACAACTATATATAGTTAATAGAACTATGTATAGTTAAATATACGTCAGAACCGATTAGAATTAGGATCTATAGTGGGTTGAGGCACTTTTTAAAAAGATTTTAACTAAAATCATGTTAACGCCAATGAGAGAAAGTAATCTAAAGACTCTAAGATGGTGTTCTTTGGATTCACTATTAGAGGTAGTGAAAATGTTTTGAAAATTGTATATAAAAAAGAAAAGTTTCTTTGAATATTAAAGCATAAAAAAAAATTATAACATCTAAAGCTCTTATTTAGCCATAATACGCTGATAAAATCATGCCATTTCCAAATAAAAAAGTTCAAATAATTTGTAAATCGACAAAGTCAAATTTTCTTTATTTTGAAATATATAATTTCATATTGTGAGAGAATCGTAAGTAATAAAAAAAATGACGCCAATGCGATTTTAACATCAAAAATGCATTAGATTTAGGTGAATTACTTAAAAATGTTTTAAGTAATTCACCTAACAAATAAATTAAAAAAATATATATATTTTTTAATTGTTAAGCGTGTAGGGCAAAAGTTTTTTGAACGTTCTGAACGCCTTTTAAAAGTTCAAAACGCATTATTTTTAGACCAAATAATATAAATATACAGTATATAAAAAAAATACCAATATTATTGTAATTGGCATATATCTAACCTCATCACAAAACATTCAGCTGTCATTGGAAAAATACACAAGTCAATTAGACATATTAAAATATGAATAGTTCTGAGGGTGTTGATGAGATAATTATACTTGAAAATTTTCAATCATTTTCTTACGGAATATACGATCTACGGAATATACTTACCACTACCGATTTCAATTGGACTTGAAGGTCAACATCAATAAAAAAATGTAAATTATATAAAAGAGGACTATAGAATTCCAATATACGTTTATGTCTAATAATCATGACTATGTAAACTTATGATCACTTAAATTTGAGTTCCATTAATCTTAACCTTGTTGGTAATTTCAAAAATGAACTTACCCAAATTTATACAACTATAACTAACAGTGCAACATCGGCTCTTAGAGATCACCTAAAGTTAAAGAAACAATCTATAGATTCAAAATTCTGGTGGACTCCTGAATTAACTCAAAGTAAAAAAAAGTCTTTCATTTCATTTTCGAAAATGGAGTGAAGCGGGATTCGCAAAAGACTCTACTTCTCCTATCTTTAATTGATACCTATTTTCCCTGAAAAATTTCCGCAACGCCGTTGAAGCAAACCAAAACAATAGACTATATCAACAATACATACAAATTAAAAAACTTAAAAACTCAAACCCAAAAAACCTCTGGAATACTTTTAGATGTATAAAAACCGATTCAAATTCAAAACTTTTTACTTTAAACAATAAAAAAGATAAAGAACCAATTACCGCAGAGTTTGCTACTATTTTTGAAAAGCGGTTAAATACTGAGATAATAACTGATGGATTTACTAATCTTCAAATTTCTACTGCCAAAAATCCTAACAAGGCTTATGCTGATGGCATCATTCTCAGTTCTACTCTCTCTTGGGCCAAAAAAACTTATTACAACCTGTAAAATGTACAACAATTTAAACGGCATAAAGCTTAATGCTGTCAAACGGAACTTTTACTCTCCGGAAAAAGACAAATAACGAACTGGACAATATCCCTAGACGACCATCAAAAACAAATAACGAACTGGACAATATCCCTAGACGACCATCAAACTAAACGTCATGAAAAACTTAATCATCTTGGCTTTACTTGGGATGCAAAAATTTTTTTGCTTCACTTAATAGAATGAATATTGACAGTAGGGTATCAAATTTCCAGGCGACAATGCAAACTCTGATTCAATCTGGAATCCAGTTCCAAGGTCTATTATTCAATTATAGCAATTCCGACGCTAACCCACGGTCTAGAGCTCTGTAAAAAATAAAGAGTCAACAATGAAAAGACTCGACACACTTGGAAGTATATATACTTCAAAAGTTTATAGAATTTTTTTTTTCCTGGGTTATTAAGCTAATAATACAAGGTCTAAAGTAAAGTCTATACTTTGACTCAGCAGTTCTAATAAATTATGTTTATATATTGAATATGCTAATTTGAACTTTGAATCCATTGAACGTAAAATTTGGGCGTTGACCTTAAAAGTTTGATACTAGATTTTTAACATTAAATTATATACAAAACTATTTGCTTAATAATAATTATGTAATTACAACTTCGTAAATGAACTAATGCATGGGTTATGGCACTTGATTCACTTCATCGCATCAATTTAATCAAACTTAATAAACTATAAAATGATAAGATATACATTAACTTGAACTTTAAAGTATAGTAAAATCACTAAGTACAAATGAGTGAATTAATAATATTAATACAAGATATAAGCCAATTACTAATAAAATAAGAATTATTTGATGAAATTAGGCATATCAAAATTTAAAAATGCATTTTGTTCACCATGCTCAGGCAAAAAAGTGTTTCTTTTAGCTTCAAATTACAGATATAAAAAAGACACCCATGGGTTTCTTTTTTATTTTATTCAGTTTTTATTTCACTTGAGCCCAATCAAGTGAATTTAAAACTAAACAAAGTAAAAAAAAAAAAAAAGTAGGTATAGTTATATAATAGTGTCAACAAAGCAAAATAAAATACATTAAACTTTAAAAATATTTTAGACACTTTTTCAAAACTTTATAAAGTTTTAGGATATATACTTTTAAAATACAATCTTGTTATTTTAAAACCTTATATTTCAAATAGTTTATTTTTACATTTATTAAAACCTTATTTTCCAAATTACCGCAATACATTTTATAAAACCTTATTTTCCACAATTCTGTTTTTTTTTTTTTTACTGGTCAACCTTGACCAGCAAGAATTCATTTTTTGAAGTCAAAAAATCAGTTCTTTCCGTTGACTTTTACGCTGAATAATAATATTGCATTTGGCCTGTCCTTGGCCGAAGCCGAAACTTCCGCAAAAGTGCCGAAGCTTCGGTGTGCTGAAGCTAAAACAGAATTTTCGGTACACCCCTAATTTAAAGTAGTCGAGTTTAATTTGAATAAATATATAAATACTTTAATTAATAATAAAGAAAAAACATGCTAAAGTTAAACTTCAACGGTTTGAGTACAAAAATCAATTAGTGTCAGTCATTAGAGAATTTTTACCCAGTCAGTCAAATTAATTTCACTTTTATGCCAAAAATCAATTCCCACACACAAAATGCTCATATTGTAATATCTATTCCTCCTTTAAATAATTTATATTTTTTTATAACATTTTTACCAATTTTATTATATTTTCATCGTTATTATTATAACTTATGCCGCGTAAATTTTTTGTAACATTTCATCTGAAATGTTACAAAAAATTTACGTGGCATAAGTTATAATAATAAATTATTAATCCTCAAACTACAAAAAAATATCTTAAGAAAGTAAAATAGCCTAACAAAAGATTTATATCAAAGCATTTTCTACAAAACTATTAAAAGTATAATGACGTCATATTTGTTACTAAGCATTATAGGAGTTTTTTTAGTAGTCAAGCGTGTTCGAAAAATTCGTTTTAAAATTTTTAATATTTGACGTCAGTTATTGTAAACTCACATACTCACAAACATACTTACACACACACATATATACACAAACCAAGCAAAATATTAAAAGTAGCCGACATTTAATTAACTTCTGTTAAAAATGCCATTAAAAGTTATCAAAAAGACTTCTAATAATAAAATTCCTCGATGGCGTTTTAGCGACATTGTATTAAGAAGTTTAACTCAACAACAAAAAGCAAAATTTGAACAAGATTCGATCTTTTTTAAAAATTCAAAGCCTGCTTCATTACAAAGAAACACAAAACATTTCAAAATAAATGTCCCGAACTCAATTGCTAAAGCTGAAATTTACAAGTAATAACTTTTATTATGTTTGACACTACATTTTTACACACACACATCATGATGTGATGTGTTTAAGTATGTATGTATGTATGTATGTATGTATGTATGTATGTATGTATGTATGTATGTATGTATGTATGTATGTATGTATGTATGTATGTATGTATGTATGTATGTATGTATGTATGTATGTATGTATGTATGTATATACGTAAAAACATACAAAACACAACTTAAATTCTATTTGTAATTTTATAGAAAAGTTGAAAAAAAACAAACAACCCCTTTGATTCAAAGAAACAAAATAGCTCCTTTCACTTCTCTAGGAAAACCAACATGTGGGTTTGGATTTTCATTTGAAACTAATAATCGTAAAGAAAAAATTGGCATTATGCCTTCTAATCTAGTAAAGTGGAGAAGCCAACGCTGCAAAAGTATTCAAGTCCAACGTCAAAAATAATTTGGAATTAACAACAAAACTTTTAATAAATTGTTTAAAAATACGATCATTTATAAAACAAAAATTTACAAAAAATTAAAAATTTCTTTTGCATTTCGCCCGTTTGTCAGATTTATTACTTTCATAAATTATTAAATTAGCTTCTATTTAGTTATATATATATATATATATATATATATATATATATATATATATATATATATATATATATATATATATATATATATATATATATATATATATATATATATATCAGTATATATACATATATATATATATCAGTATATATATATATATATATATATATATATATATATATATATATATATATATATCAGTATATATATATATATATATATATATATATGTTTATATATATATATATATATATATATATATATATATATATATATATATATATATATATATGTATATACATATATATATATATATATATATATATATATATATATATATATATATATATATATATATATATATATGTATATACATATATATATATATATATATATATATATATATATATATATATATATATATATATATATATATATATATATATATATATATATATATATATATATATATATATATATATACATAAATGAATAATTTAAGTAATTTAATTAAATAACGAGATTTTTTAAAAGAACAAGGCAATACTAAACTAGTGGAAAATCGCTTATCAAATTTTTTTCATTTTACACTTTGTTTCATCTAGAAAGACCCATCAGAAATGTCAGAAGTGAATTCATTCAAAAGAATATCGGTAGTCGGGTATTTAAAACAATTTAGACGTGTGAATTTTAGTTTTAGGAACTTTTATTATTTTTCTTATTTGATGTGCCAGTTGGGTACTTTTTAAGGATTCACTCCCTCCCCTCTCTCTCATTTTATTCGTAGAATCGCCTTTGTTTATATATATATATATATATATATATATATATATATATATATATATATATATATATATATATATATATATATATATATATATATATATATATATATATATATATATATATATATATATATATATATATATATATATGTATATATATATATATATATATATATATATATATATATATATATATATATATATATATGTAGGATTAAACTATTAAACGAACATTAATGTATAATAGAGTCTTATAGTAACTACATTACAATAATCTATTATAAAACAATGAATTGAAGAGTTACAAGTGTTAGAAGAAATTTACTTTAATCAAACTCTTCGAAATAAGCATTTGAAATGACTAATTTAAATAATTTTTCTCAAAACTTTTTTTGTGACTTACGTACTTCTGGCATTAGATCCCTTTCTTGTCAAATTTACTGAGGTTTAAAAAAGAATTCCGATGCCAGCTTTACAGAAGTTAAAAAAGAATTCTGAAACATGTTTAAAAACATAAAAAGTTTTTTATAATTGATAGGCCACCTGTCTACACCAAAACTTGTGATCAACCGAAATTCTGTTTCGGTTTCGGTTTCTACTTACTATAGTGGTTGCTACACTAACCTGTTACTTTCTAACAATGATATTTGTAAACTATTTTGTAGAAGACATATCCGGCTTGTTAAAATGTAATAAATTAACTTTAAAAGTTAATTTAAAAATTATAAATTATTTTTTGTTTGTTTAAAAAAAAAGTAAAATTTTGGTTAGTGAAAGCTTACCTGGATGGGTCGTCCATAAATTACGAAACGCTAAAATTAAAAAACAGAAAAAGGAGATCTTAAGCTCTTTTATGCGGCAATTTTCATTAAACTTAACGCTCAATTTTGATTTAATTTTAATGCTCTGGGAGGGAAAACTTTATCTTACTTTCAGTAATCTGAATTTTTATACTTTTTTATGATGGTATCTTTATAAAAGCTTTTCCAACAATTTTTTAACATTTTCATGCATTAGTTAGTTTTCAAATGGGCATGTGTGGTCGGGGGGACGTGCGTCGGACGTCTGGAAGTTCGTGAGACGTCTAACAGATGTCTTCCGGACGACGCGTGCCCACTAGGTTATACCTTAGAAAATACTGAAATTTTCATGTAATCCATAAGCCAAGTCATTCCAAACTTTAAATTGCAAACAAATATTTTTAGAATGAAAATGTTAGTTGTAGCAATAAAACGGACAAAAGGTCTAAGTAGCAAAAAACTAACAAAATATGAATTAAAAATGCTATAAATACTCATCCAGTTAACCAATCCGATTGTATATATGTAATTTGTATCCAGAATTTGGTGCGGCCGTATGCTACATTTGCACCAATTTTTATTAAATTATATAAAGTGGTTCTCATTTTACAGGTGTTTTTGTTTAACTTAATTTGAAAATTCATATTAAATTATTTTCCGCGGATAAAACTAAAAAATTTCAAAAATATATATATGGGGTGATGGCGTAAACATCAAGGTACCCTGCATCACAGGGTACCTTGATGTTTACGCCATCACCCCATATAATTGGCGTTCTTGAGTCAACTAGTTTGTTGAGGTTCCTCTAGGAGTCATGGTTTTTGAGGAGTCCTAATATATGAACTTTTTTTTTCTAAGTTATGTCGACTTGATACTCAAAAAACGCAGAATAAAATAGTTTTGAAAATACTTTATTTTATAAAACCTTTTTTTAAATAAAAAAATTGCGAAAATGTCGCTAAAATTGATGTTTTTTTGCAAATTATCTTGAAAACCGGGGTTTTTAATGAAAAAAAAGCTTTAATTTTGAACGCAAATAAAAAATATTATCAAAACTAGCATAAAGTTCCGGGCACTCAAAAGATGCACTTTTAAGTACCCGGTTGTCATAGTTCTGAAAAAAAAAAACAACTATAGGACTCATTAAAATTTTTGTGTCTAAGAAGGAGACAAAAGAACTCGTCTAAATCAAAAAAGATTTTTTACTTTCATGTTATTAATAGAACACCATTTGCGTCTTAGGAATGTTTTGGCTAGAGCTGGCGTCAAATCTCTTGGTTTTGAGCCAGAACTCTTCCACGGCTCAACGGGTGTACATAAACCCTAAATTTCTTTTATGGCTTGCTATTTCATGTTCTAAAGTAAATAACAGCAGATTATTTACTTTAAAACATGAAATAGTGAAATGCAAATAACAGATCGGTTCCAAATTCTTTTACAATTGATCTTCCTGATTGAGCTGGATTGCGTTTAATTCGTTCACATAAGACTTTTTTCAATTTTTGGTACAAACCACTTTTTTTGCTTCCTAGTATTTTGCAAATATTTTGGTAAGATATACCAAATCTGGACGTTTTAAACGATTAACAATTTTTGCTGTAGTGAATTTTCTTTTATAGAGACCAATAATCTCTTTTCTCACAATTTCTAAATCTTTTTTTTTTCCATTTTGAATGTTTTGAAAAAAAATATATATGTGTGTATCTGACAGCAGATAAATACAGTATTATATATGCAAAATGCAATTTTCGATTGAAATTGACGTTTATCAATAACAATTCTTTAAAATCAGAGGACATTTGTAAAAACTAACCTTCTTTTTTAATGTTTATACTCTCATACATGATGTCAACATTATATATATATAAAATATCTATATAATATATATGAATTTTTAGGCAACTCTTCTGTAATATTAGCAAACTAAAATTTAATTAAAAAAGCATATCATTCGCAAAAAAACTTTTCGATAAAGGCGCGAGAACAAAACTTTTTAATGAAATCGGTAATTTAAGACTATTTAAGGTATCAGCAAGAACAACAGAATAAAGGCATGTGAACAAAATATAATACATGATCTAAAAAATGGAAATCCTGAAACAATCATTTAATCTAAAAATTTAATAAATAAAAAATAAAATTTTTGTACAATTAAAAAAATTTTAATGAGCTTTATGCTCAACCTATCTATGGTAATTTAAAAGTAGTAAATTCTTTTTCTAAAAACAACATTTCAAGTCAATCAAATTCAATGCGTGTTTTAATTTCACGTAATTCGCCGTCCACAGCATGTTGTTTACGAATCCTTTATCTGGTCGTGAGACTTAAAAAGAAGTGGAAACATTCCCAAAATGCACCCAAGAATGACGCCTACCATTCGGCCCTATACAAAAAATCTGCCGTATAAACTAAATAAATATTAAAAGTAAAAAATATAGTAATATAATTATTAATAATAATAAATTACAACATTTAATACTATTTAATACTAAGTCATACAAGTATATAAAAAATAGAAATAGATTTTACTGCATATATTGTTATCTTTGTTTGTTTCATTGAGTTCTGAATTGCGGTCAAAGTTGGTGCCACTATTCCAAATCGTAGAGCTACAGCTTCTATGTAGCCAGCTAAACTAATTTTAAAAAATCACGCGTACTTAAAATATAAATAATTTAATATTACACATACAAGCACTATTTAAAACTGCGTTTATGTAGTCCAATTCGCTTATATAATACACTATTTCGCTTATGTAATATTTCATTTCAACTATGTAATATATCATTTTACTCAAGTAAAACACTATTTCGCTTATAAAATATTTAATTTATAACGAAAAAAGAACGAAATACATCAATTTTTAAAATAAATTCTTAAAATTATTTTAGTATATTAGTTTACATTGTTATGCATTTTTCTGTACTGTTTAAATTGTCCTGTATTTGTGTACAGTAAAACGGGGTAACTTTGGCCAGCGGGGTAACTTTGACTATTTTAAAATATTTTAGTTAAACAACTTTAGTTTTTAAAAGGATTAGTAAAATTGCAATATTTTTGTTTAATTTTGTATTTATATTGTAAATTTAAATTATATTAAAATTATATTGTAAATATAATTTTTCTTGCATAAGAAGTAAGGTGAAACTTGTTGCATATAGGTAAAATACAACCAAAAAATAAGAAACAAAACGCTGCCTGGGCAAAGATTAAAATTTAAGTGAACAACATAGTTTTCCATCTATTTAAAAGAAAAATGTTCAAATAAGAAGTACAAATTTTTTTAGGCTCAAATAACAACCTTCTGTGTTTTTTTACAGGGTGGTCATAGTTACCATGAAGGTTTAATATCTTCAGGGGTAACTTTGACCATGTAAATAATACTCATTTTACAGTAACCTGATCATTATTCTATCTAAATCTTATTTTTTTGAAAGATGTTATCTAAATGACTTATGATATATTATGGATAAACTTGATGTAAAAATTTTAGTTGTTGCTTATTTAAAATAACAAAATTGTACAGTGAAAATGAGTGGGTTTCAAATTTTATGAAGCGATCACAGTTATTCCATTGAATTGTATCAAACATTAAAAAAATTGTAGCTATAAAAAAAGAACAACTAAATTATTACTTAGAAAACATTAAACATGAGCTTGAAGGAATTTCACATTGTAACATTTGGAATTATGGCAAAATCAATTTGTGTGATGATCCTGGACTTTTTTTTTATGAAACGTGGAATTAAGTATCCTGAAAGAATAATTAATAGCAATAAAGGTACTGTTTGTGATGTTTTGTGGAAACAGTGCAGGAGAAATTCTGTCATCAAAAACAGTTTTCAAAGGCACTTATTTATACGACTCATGGATAAAACATGGTGCAAAAAAAATTTGATTATGTAATCTCACTTTAATAGAACTAAAACTGGTTGGTTTGATGAGTCTGGTTTTAAGGATTAGTTTTTTCGGGCGTTGTTGCTGCGTGTGAAGAAAAAACTGGAAAAAAGTATTAATATATGACAATCTCTCTTCCAATTTGAACCATAGAGTTATAAATTCTTGTGAAAAACATAACTTTAGATTTTTATGCCTTCTTCCTAATTCCTAATTTGCTACAACCTCTTGATGTGGCATTCTTTGCACCATCAAAAAAAGCATGGAGGAATATTCTTGTGTATTGGAAACAAAGTTCTCAAGGTAAAAAATGTGTAACTTTATCAAAAGAAGATTTCCCTAAATTGCTGAATTTTTAATGACGTCTATTAATAAAAGATCGAAAAAAAATTTAATAAGTGGATTATTTTGTTTTGAAAAAAAAAGTAACTTTATTTTGCAAAAAAACTTAATTTTTTTGGGTTTTCAAAACATTTCAAGGAGGTTTAAACCCATATCTCTGCTTTTTTAATATTTATTGTTTATTTTTGTTTCAGTTATTTTACTTTTTACATTAAACACGAATTTCATATTGAATCTAAGTTTATTTTTTTCTTGTTTTTATGACTTTTTATGGTTTCATAACTCAATAAGATTTTAAAATAGAAATATAAACAGTATATTGACAGGGTTAATCTAACCCTAAGCCTGTATATACAAAATCTAATATGTATTTATAATGCTAATTTACTACTTTATATATATGTATATATATATATATATATATATATATATATATATATATATATATATATATATATATATATATATATATATATATATATATATATATATATATATATATATATATATTATATATATATATATATATTATATATATATATATATATATATATATATATATATATATATATATATATATATATATATATATATATATATATATATATATATATATATATATATATATATATATATATATATATATATATATATATATATATATATATATATATATATATATATATAGTCTTGCATGGTAGTCGAAAAGATTTTTTGTTTTTTTTTCATATATTGTAGTTTTGAGTGCACTAATAAACTAGCCCAGAAAAAGTTTAAAACTTGATTTTTTAATTTTTTTTCTCAAATGATAGACTGCCTGCCATAACCAAACCTTCAGTCGATGTTGTGGCACTCTGTTGCAAATCAGGCTATAAGATAGTCGATGTAGCAACACTCTGTTGTGACACAGGTTATAAGATAGTCGATGTAGCAACACTCTACACATGTTTTAAAAATATATTTTAATAAAACAAAAACACCATTATTTAAAAAAAACTTTCTAGTAATTACTATCGGGTGGACACAGAAAAATCCGGTCAACTTTAAATTGAGATTTCTCCAAAACCATAAATGCTTTTTATTTAATTTTATTTTTTAATTAAACCTTACTTCTATATCTTATATGGTGTTGATAAATTTTTGTTTACAAATTAATGATTTGCAAAATGTTTCGGAAACAAACTTTTTCTCACTATGGATCTGCCCATATATTAGCCTACTTATTCATGGGAGGAAAAGATACAGATTAATAGAGCTATGATAATTTTTTTTTTTTACTTTCTCTTACAATTAAGTTTACATTAATTAATAATTGTTTTGATTTTTTTCCTGGTTTTTCCTCTATTTATTTTATCATTCTTTAAAATTTTTATTTTTTAAGGTAATTTTTGTATTATATACATTTTTAAGGATTTTATTCTCTTTTCAGTTTATGGATTGTTTATTTTAATTTTAATTTGCTTTGTTTTTTTAGCGCATTTTTTAATCGCGCTAATAATAAAAACTTGCAAAGAGCTGTGGTAAAGTTGTTAAAATAAAGAACTATATGCATGGACATATATGCAACCGCATGCCTCTTACGTGAAGGCCTGATTTATATATATATATATATATATATATATATATATATATATATATATATATATATATATATATATATATATATATATATATATATATATATATATATATATATATATATATATATATATATATATATATATATATATAATGTTCTTTAATGATATCAATAAAGGAAGAATTATTGAAATGTCATCATTTGAAATGACTCATAGAGATATTGCACTTAAGATTGGATGTGGAAAAAGTACGATTACTGATTTTCTGAAAAAGTATAAAAACACAGGAGAAACAGCCAATTGTTCTGAATCAGGAAGAAAGAAAAAAACTACAAAAAGAGAAGATGTATTGTCCAAGCTTAAAAATCGCCGCACTTCTACAGATGAAATAAAAGTGGAAACTGGGACTACCAACATTTCTGGAAAAACTATAATTTGTTGTTTACATGAATGCAAAACTTTAGAGTCTCATTGGGCTGTCAGAAAGCCTCTTCTATCAAAAGTGAACATTGCGTTCCAATGGTGCAGTGTACATAAAGACTGGACTATTGCCTAATGGAGAAGAGTTGTTTGGTCAGATAAGTCTTCTTTTTGGTTTTTGATGCACTCAAAAATTTCATGTTTGGAGACATAGTAATGAAAAGCATCAACCTGGGTGTATTAAATCCACTGTTAAACATTAAAAAAAGATAAACGAATGCTGCGCATGCTATGGGATGGATTCACAAGATTAAAAGCATTATGGATCAATACCAGTACCATGGGATCCTTGTTTATAATGCCAAAGCCAAGCTGAATGGAATTATTTCCAGATAATAACTACCTATTTTAACAAGATAATAATCCTAAGCACACAGCGAAACGTTATAAATCATATGCTTTAAAAAACTTGCTTACATTGGACTGGTGGCCTAGTCAATCACCCAACCTAAATCCAATTGAAAACCTATGGTCAATACTCAAAGATAAAATTTAAAAAAGAACATGCAATGATGAAACTAGCCTTTTCAATTGCGTTCAAGAGACATGGAATAGCTTAGACCCATTGCTATTAACAAGGCTTGTTGATAGTATGCCTTGGAGAATTAATGCAGTCCTCACTGCAAAAGGTGCTATGACAAAGTACTAAATTAAGAGAGTGTGCTCAGAAGAAAATGACTGAGGATTACAATACAACAAAACAACTCTGCCAACAATTATTTTGTACTGTTTGGTAACACCTTTTTTTTTAAGCAACATTACATTGTAAAATGTATTTTTTAATGCTTTGGCATTGATTTTCTTTAATAAACAACTTTGAATTTTTTTTTCTTATTTAATATACATTTATATGTATATATATATATATATATATATATATATATATATATATATATATATATATATATATATATATATATATATATATATATATATATGTATATATATATATATACATATATACATATATACATATATATATATATATATATATATATATATATATATATGTATATATATATATATACATATATACATATATACATATATATAGTATATATATTACTGTTACCCACAGTATCAGGAATTAGCTAAATGCTAATATTTATAATATTATATTGCGACTTAAAGTTTCATGTGTTACCACAATCATCAGGCAAGTAGTCAAAAGTTAATTTTGCTACAATGTGTTTAGAAAAAATTTACGGTTTATATTAGTATTTTAGATTGTTATGGGACGGAAACTGTTTAGTAGTTAAGGTTAATGTTATTAATAATTTGTTTTTGTTCTAAACTTTTCACAAATTCACATTTTTTACCTGATTGCTAGGTAACTTTGACCGCTGCGTTGATTCCATAAAGTCTTGAATTAACTCTGACAAAGTTACCCTGTTTTACAGTACATTGTTTATTTTATTATGTATTTTTGGGCGCTGTGCATTATTTGTTTTTGTGTGTGTGTGTTTCTTTGTGCACATTGTTTGTACTATTTTTTTTTCTTCTAGTTTGTTTAATGTTGGTTGGACATTTTTAAAGTTGCATATGTTTTTAAAACTGACATTAAACTTAAATTATATCTATAAATAGGAAGATCTAGATTTTTGCAACAACAATTAGCTGAAAACTAACTTTGATTTAATGTTCACTAGCCACATACTGTAGCAGAAGTAAGATACTTTTCAAACTCAAATGCCCCTTTCAAGCAATGAAAGAGTGTTGGCTTTTTATCAAGACGAAAATAAATGGTAGTATCATCAGCAAACAATCCCACCTTAGATGTAAAAATATCTGGAAGATCATTAATGTTAATTAAAAAGAGTATAGGGCCAAGGATAGAACTATGAGGAATCGCTAAAGTGAAAGGATATGAAGAAGAGTGTTGTCCATTGAGAATAACTTTAATACTACGATTGGTAAGGAAGGATTCAATAATCTTAAAGATGTTACCTGATACATCGTAAGAAGAAAACTTATGTATAATAAATATAGACCAGCATGCCAAGCTTTATCAAAAGTTTTAGAAATGTCAAGAGCAATAGCAGTAACTTCATAACTTCTTTCTAATGCATGATAAAACCTATTGGTTATTAATGTTAGCAAATCAGCTATAGAACAAGAAGATCGAAATCCATATTGATGATCAGAAAGTAAGTTATTAGATTCTAGATGAGAGATTGTTTGTCAATTAAAGACTCAAAAACCTTGCTTATGATAGGAAGAAGACTAATGGGACAGTAGTTAGATAAATCAGATCACTTTCCAGAGTTTTTGAAAAAAAGGATAACAGATGCCGCTTTCCAGCAGAGTAGAAAAATAAAATTCTGATAGGCACTTGTTTAATAGTTTTGAAAGTATAGACAACAGCTCTAGAGAACACTTCTGCAAGACTATAACAGGTATGTTGTCTGAACACAAGCTGCAGAAGAGTCTAAGCAGAAAATCACTTTAGATAAATAAGCTGGAGTGCTATGAATGTTAAGCAATGGATCAACCCATTTTACAGCTATATCAGGTAGAATGCAACTATTGAAAATAAGAGATGATATTGATAAAAAGTTCTTAGCAAATAATTTAGCTTTGTCATTAGGTGAGGTGACAAAATCTGAACCATATGAGAGAGGTGGAACAACAGATTTGCCCTTATTATAGATACTGTTAAAGATTCTCCAGAAGTCACAAGAGCCTAATTTTGGAGATGAAATTTTGTGACTTGAGAATAGTGGGCTTTAGCGTTAGACAAAATCTTTTTACAATGGTTACTAGCAATAGTAAACTGTTTTCTGGAGAATTGTTTTGCTGATAGATATGGAAGTAATGGTTTCGATTGGCACAATGCAAGTAAAATCATGGAGAAGAGAGAGGCTTGACTTGGAATCGTAGAGAGGGAATAAGAGATTTCATGCCAGCCTGAATCCAAGAAGTTATGTAAGATGCACATTTTTCAGCAGACGAAAGATTTCTACCCAAGGGCCATCACAAAGAAAATCACAGAGAGTATCCCAGTCAGCTTTAAAGTAGTTGTATGAGGTACGATGATAAGAGAATTTTGATGATGAAGAAAAATGAGATAATAGTTAGAGATCAAACTGTGATCAGAAGCACCTAAGGGTGAATGTGGAGAAATTGAGCACAAGCGAGTTGGAAAGTTGACTATTTGAGTTAGAAATTGAGAAAGGCAAAAGTTCTGGGCCTTTATAAAAGATATAGAGCAATGTGAAAGGCGATAGAGTGAAGTAGTGCTAAATGAAAGCACATAAAAAAATAGTCTGTGGATTCAAACCTAGTTTCCCAACAAATGGGTGAATTCTTGCGAATGTAAATGCCTAGGCCAAGCATGTGACTATCGGAGTCTTTACAAATTAAAGGAAAATAACCATCAACATTAAGATCACAAGATTAGATCATAAAGATCATCAAATCATAATATCACATAAAGATCATCACAAGATCATAAGATCACAGCCAAACTCAAACCAGTCTCACAAAGAACAAGTAGGTCTGGTGAACTTTGCAAGATATAAGACTCAACAGAAGAAAAGTTACTTGGAAGACTGTAAATACTAGTGAATGATAGATTTAGAGAACTTTGTTATGATGATGGTTTTTTGAGTTTAATACTTATTGGTACTTTAGTCATTTTTAAATTTGTTAAAGAGCTTGACTTAAAGCACAGATAGTACTCAGCACTACTGAGATAGTACACAGTTCAGTAAACCTGACAACCAGCTGGCCCCAGAACCATAAAAGTGAGTTTTAGAGCTGTACCCTCATTAGAATATAATAGAATGAGTTGTCTAGTCATAAAAACAGAAACACAAGCAAAACCCATGCATTGAGTCAAGAAGATCCAGCATTCGACATCCTAAACTGAAAACTACTTTGTTGTAAAGTGTTAACTGTAACCTGTTACTGTAAACTGAAAAAATGAAAAATTATAAATATAATCAAATTATAATATTTATAAATATAATCTAATTATAATATAAAAAAAATATAATTATAAACACATCTACGCCAGTCTAATAGATGAAAAAAGGCTGGTTAACAAATAGAATCTGTTTATCCTTTAAGTCTTTGTCTAGGAAGCCTACAATACAGTAGCATTGGTTGCATTTAATGCCTGCCCAAGATGAGTAGTTTTATTGAGACAATATCTCTAGCCTTTACTCAACCAAGAGCCCCAAGGCAGGGGGTGTTTTAAGTTAGAGTAGGCTTTTAAATGTTTTAAACTATTTTCCATCAAAATACCACATTACAAAGTTCTCGACTCAAGAATATACACATTACTTTAAGCAGAATTGGTACAGCAATAAGCTGTTAGCTTCAGAATCAAAAATCTAGATATTAATGCCAGCTCTGATCATATAAACAAAACAAGTAAGAAAAGCAACATGAGCATTTTTGATAAATGGTCTTTCACAGTGCTCTGTGTCAAAACCATTAGGTTTTATTAGACTTAAATAGAAGGAAAAAATGATCTAAACTCAGGAACTCACATAGACACTCAGATATATATATTTTTGTTAATTCACCTCCTCAAGGCCAAGAAGGCAAATACAGACGAGGATGCTACTTATTTGTGGTTATATAACCCTCTCTCAACTCTATAACTCCGAAACACGAACCTTGACGAACAAGGCCACTGCATGGAGAAATGAGTTGAGCGCGGTACTACCAGGGACATGGTGGGGATTGAACTCGGAACCTCTCGCTTAAGAAGTAAGCGCTCTGCCACTACACCACTACCGCATATATATATATATATATATATATATATATATATATATATATATATATATATATATATATATATATATATATATATATATATATATATATATATATATATATATATATATATATATATATATATATATATATATATATATATATATATATATATATATATATATATATATATATATATATATATATATATATATATATATATATATATATAGAGAGAGAGAGAGAGAGAGAGTTCGAAGTGAGGCAGGATGCCATCTCGTCACCTTTTTATAAAGTATAAATCATCCCGCAACCTTTTTTAAAATCTCTATATATAACAATGATTAGGCGGGATGGTATTTTTAAATTACCGTATACCATCCTTTTTCTTTTTTCTCCACTTCGAACACTGTATGTATGTATGTATGTATGTATGTATGTATGCATGTATGTATGTATGTATGTATGTATGTATGTATGTATGTATGTATGTATGTATGTATGTATATATATATATAAATTTTAAAAAAATGTACTAACATAATTCCAGATACATCAGATACCATATTGCCAATAGCAGCAGCTATAAACATTAATAAATGCAATAAAGAGCAACAGTATGAATAACCAATCATAACAGAGATTCTATTCAGAAACAACTACAATATAGATCAACACACACAAACAATCACATATAGATCAATTTTAGAAACAACTACAATAAAGATCAAAACACAGGAATTACAACACAGATCAAATTAAATTTATTATACAGTATTTAATAGGAAATAATAACTTTTTAAAAAAATCTTGCAATAAATACCTGTCATTGTAGACATACCAAATATTACACCAAGTTTTAAGTCAATATATTCTCCCTGTAAAATAAAAATGAATGTGATATTTAACAAAAACTATTATCAACAATACTGAACAACTAAGGATTGATTATGACCAAAGTGAATTGATTAAAAAAAGCCTTCCACATAAATTGCATTTAAAATGTTTTTAGGAAAGACAACAACTTAAAATCAAAAAAAAAAAAACTTCAGTAAACAATAAAATTATGTCATACTTCAGCTTCTTTAGGGCACCAAAAATCTTACACCCTGTTGCTATAACTATTCAAATTAATTTTTTTTTTTAAATGTACTTATTTCTTGTATTTAAAAGTACATATTTCATGCTACAAAGAAATTTAGGAGACATTGGATTAAATATGAAATTCATAACTTGTAATTAAAATTGCCTTGAACTATTTAACAAAATTTTTGTTTAAAAAAATTTTTTAAGAAATTTTTTGTTTTCAAAAGTGCTTTATTAAAAAGTTAAACTTTTTTAATGTTAAAAAAAATATATACTAAAAATATACAGAAAGGAACTTTGTCCTCAATAAATTGTTTCAAAAGTTTGGAAATTTTGCCAACAAAAGAAATTTTATCATGTCATGTAATGAAGTTCCTAAAAAAGTAGATTTTACTTATTTACTTACATTTTGGCTTAACTGTACTTTATTTTAAGTTTTATAAAAAAATGATATCAACAATATTAATAAAATATTATTTTTCATTATTTAAAACTTATATTTGTGATTCTAGCTTCAATTTTTCATTTTTTTAATATTTATTATATCTGTAAAGGAAAAAAAAGAGAGTGCTAATTATTATCTTTATTTCTATTTTGAATATAATAATTTACAACATATAATGCTTAAATTTTAACATGTTAAAGACACTCCAAAGAATCTTAAAAAAAATTTGAAATATAACATGTTAAAAGTACTTCAATGAATCTTAAATAAAAAGAAATTGAATTTTAACATGGTAAAGTACTCCAAAGAATCTTTAAAAAATTGAATTTTAACATAGTAAAGTACTCCTAAGAATCTTAGAAAAAAAATTACTACTTCAAATTTTAATTATTAAATTAATTACAATTTAAATTTTAAAGTCAAAAGTTTAAAATAAAATGTTTAGAAGTTGTTTTTTAGCAAACAAAACAAAACAAAAAAAAATTTTTTGAAAAAAAAAAAAATACTAAAAACTATTTTTAAAGAATTTTTAGAAAAAACTTTTTATACGAGAAAAAAAAAAAAAAAAGTATAAGAATAATAGTAAATTAATACAACAAACAAAAAGAAATAACAAAACTTCTCTAGTTATCAAAGTCAAACCCATTCTTATTGTTTTGCAAATTTTAACATTTAACTTTAAATATATTTTTTATTTAAATAAATACTTAAATATACTTTGAGATAAAGAAACTTTTTATCCTTTTCTCTTAAGTCACTTTTAGGTGAATTTCTATGTCATCACTACTATTATTAAGAAAGCACTTTATTATTACTTTTTTTCAGATTTGTATTTTCTGAACTTTAATAAGTTGAGATGTATCATAGTAAACTCAACCTTTAGACTTTAAGCTCAGAATCGCTTTGACCACTGCACATTTATACCATGAATTCAAAATTAGACATTGCATATATGGGCTTCAATCTAATTTATGTTAATTTTAGAGGAATTTTTAATTTTTTTATTTTAAAACGTAATACATTAAAGAAAATTAAAATAGTTTATAACTAAATAGATAATACTTTTGCTAACTAAATACTGACATAGCTTACGAGTATTGTTTAAAAGAAATATCAAAGTGTTTAGTTGTCTTCATACTTTTAATTAACCTTAGAAAATAAGTTAATTAAACTTGCCAAAACAAATTAGTTATTGAGATATCACCAAAAAACTTCTTAACTTTTTTGTAACTTTACCATCTTATTTTCTATGCATTATTTTGGCTTACAATTCTGTTCAGTTTTTTTTTTATCTATAAGAATATCTGGTTTGTTTAATGAATGGCGTTCACAGTAGTTTTTTTAAACAATTTAATGCACAAGATTTTCATTTTTTTAATTTGCAATTATAATAAAACCTTGACGCTTTATTTCAGTTAATGAAACATTTCAGTTCTCAGATCTCACTTTTGACAAAATGAAAAAAAAACAAACAGTCATTAACAAATTTATTTTTATATTTTATTATCAGCAAAAATATTATTTTTGGTTTTTAGATTTTATCAGAGTGACTTGTTTTTAACAACCTGCAGCTGTATTCACTTCTTTCTGTTAAACTAATTTTTAGATCAATTTAAAGAAACTAATGGTAGGAATGATAATGACCTATGGGTTTTTTAAAATATTTCAAAGACCACCTAATCAAATTTGATACTTTTTTAATGGTTTAAAGCAAATTTATCTCTAAATACAATAATATTTTTATTATATTTTTTTATTTAAAAAATTATCTTCAAACTGATTACAATAATTTTTCAATTTTATGAGGGCACCTTGCATAAATTTTCGGAAAAGTGATAGATGGAAACAAGAAATACACTTAAATTAAAATAAACCCAAATTTTGGGTATACAAACTCAATACCAAAACCAAAACCGACATTTCAAGCAAATATTTAACCAAAAGTAAAACTATGCGCACTGCAATTGTTTGATTGTGACTTTGATATTTTTAAGAAGTAGATGGATAATTTGTGAACAACGGGCTTAAATTTCATTTAGAAATGGTAAAATATTTTGTTGAAATTTTCAAAAATAACAATTTTTCTAAATTGAATAAAAATTTAAAATCATACAAAGTTTTTTTTTTTTGGTATGTTTTTTAACCAAAATTTTGCTTCTTCCAAATTTATAAAAAGTACCAAAACCAAAATTTTGGTATTGGTTTAAATTGAAATTTAGTCCAAAACCGATATCAAAACAGAATTTCAGTTTATCACTATTTTGGACAACAGTTTCCATAAAATTTTGCGATGCTACACCCCGAAATTGATTGATGCCTGTTGCAATTTTGCCATACAGGTATACGTACTGCAAAAACAACCATACCTCAAAAACCACAATGTTGATTTAAGTAACCTAGATTTGGTAAATAATTCAAGATATTAAAACTTTGATATAATATGAAAGTCAATATGTTGATGAATTAAATTGGTTAGTAGTTTTTTCTTGCAAAAAGTTCTGTTTTTAGCAAAAAAAAGAGCAAAATTTAACAAAAAAAGTAGTTTTTTTTGGTTTTGTAGAAGCCTAGAGGATTTATCTTAGATTAAGTCAGCAAAATATTGATTTTCTTTCTATCACCTATGGATTATGACTAAATGTAGAAAAAAGGTTTTTTTAATTAAGCAATTGTAAATCTGTAAAGCATCATCAAATAGAAGTAGTATTGTGGTTTTTAGGGTATATTTTGATTGAATTCACTTAATCATATTGTGAAAAACAATAACAAAATTGCTTTTTAATTTGATTTTTGCCTGCACAGATTAAATTTTTGGCTTCATTTTCTATGTGTATTTTACTAACTCTATTTAACAAAAAAAAATTCATCGTTAAACATTTTAGAATACATCAATCGCTCTGCAGTACTAGCCAAAATACCAAAACAACTTGGCAAGTTAAAATTTAGCATTTTGCTATAGATTTAAAAAAAAAAGATTTAAAAAAGTTAGTTTTAATAAATTCCTAAATTTTTTATCATTTAAAAATGTTACTGATTTTTAAAACGTAACAAAATACAATATTAATTTAATTTAAAACACTGCAAGGACAACTTTAGAATCAAGAGGTTATATACAACGAATAAAGTAAAAATTGAGAACACAAACAATACCTAAAAAATGTTATTTTAAAAAATCAATGTGGCTTTTAGGGTACCAGTTTTGTAGTAATTGTGGTGCATCAGATATTTCTTCCGAGACTATCTTAGCAGTCACTGTTTTTATTTAAAGCAGATTAGGTAATACCAAGTCAAGCCAAATTTCAAGTTCATAGATTAACTGACTGCAAAGATACAACCAATCATTTGAATGCGGTTTTTGGGGTACACACTCCAAAAAATATTAAAAGTTTAGTTAACAATAACTAGAAAACTATTCTTTGAAAGTATTCAAACAAATTGAAAACAACTAATATTAAGCAACTCTACACATACTTAAAACAGTTTTCTACAAAAGCAAGGAATGAAAAAAATATTGAGGTATTTGTACCACTTTTTGCAATACGTATACCTGTATTTAAAAAGGTTAGGTTTCATGTTTGCCTAATTGGACAAAGAAGTTTTTTGCATTCATGTTTTTTGGGACAAAACCAACACCATTTTATTGATGCCATTTGATTACATTTTTTGATTATCATGCTTTCTGATCATTGGCAAAAGTTGCTTTTTTTAAACATTCTTTTATGTAAATATTGGAGTTCATTGTTCCGCTCGTGAAAGATGGCTGAGTTTTGAAAACAAATGAACAGATGCCAAAACAATTTAAATCTAAAGATTTACTTATTTTGGCAAATCTTTTGATTTAAATTGTTTTTAGCAAAGCTCAGACTCTGTTCCTTTTAAAATTGTATAAAGTTGTTGCCCTGGAGTGTCAAACAGTCGAGTTTGCAGTAGGTTTCATCATCCATTATAATGCACTTTTGATTTCCTTTAAATTTTTCTCATAACAGTTTTTGACCATGTTTTTGGCCTTTGGCTGAATTACTGTTGGGATCTTCTTGGGAATTTCTTCTTTTGTAGGTCTTGTAGCCATATCTCTTTTTGACTTCTTAAATATTCAACTTTTAAACACCCTTTTTTCTTTTTTTTTGATTTTGATATCCCAAATGGAATACTTCAGATTTTTATCAATCTATCTAATAACTTATTGATGAAGTTTCAAACTTGATGGAACTTTTTTCTTGGTTTTTTGACTTTCTTTCCGATTCCCAACCTTCACTCCGCCATTTCATGATACGATTGACAGATTTACTTTTTTGCAAAAAACAATCAAGTGTTTTAAAACTAAAGTTGTATTATTTGAAAAAGATTTAAATTTGATTCAAACAATTAAAAAGATTATCAAAATCGAAATGTTTATAAAATATTTCAAAAAACCTATGAAAAAAACTTGTCAAGAGAAAACATACACATTTCTATGAAGAATAAAGATGCAATACATACTGGCAATTGTGTACAAAATATAAACCATATTTGTTTTCAAAATTAAATATAAAATATCTGATTTAAAACATCATAAAAATACATAGTAAAAAAAAAATAACACATAATAAAAAAACTTACTGCTAAAATCATAATGGAGTTATCTATGAATCCAAATCCAATAAATGGAATCCCATTACTGATGGCCACTAAATAAGACTAGAAACTTAAAGACTAAATATATATAGAGAGAATTTTACAAAATTTGTTATATTCTCTTAAATTTTTAAAATAAAAAGTAAAAATTTGTTAAATACTTAAAATTAAAAGATCAAAATATCAAATTTGTTAAATTTATTGCTTAGAACAAAAATTATTTATAATCTATTAAGTAATATAAATTGGTATTAGACAAAATAAGGCATGAGTACATGAGAATCAAACGGTTCTTTACCAAATTCTATTGTAAAAAATTTTTTTTTTGCTTTTATTTATTATTATATTCTTATGCTTGAAATTATATAACTTTAATATATTCTTATTCTTATTATCATTATTATTATTATTATTATTATTATTATTATTATTATTATTATTATTATTCATAAAATATTTAAAAACAGGTTTTTTATTATCATCATTAATTTTAACTTTATTTAATAAAGTATGAATTATCAATTAATTTACAAACAATTTCAAAAATTATAAAAATAATAAAATAAGATTAATAATAAAACATAAATAATATAAAAACATTATATTGTTACTTATATTGATACAACATCAATATAAATAACAACAGTTGTAAAACATTTAAATAAATAACAACATTATCAATATAAATAACAACAGCTGTAAAACATTTAAACAAATAACAACATTATTAATATAAATAACAACAGCTGTAAAACATCTAAATAAATAACAACATTATCAATATAAATAACAACATCTGTAAAACATTTAAATAAATAACAACATTAATATAAATAACAACAGCTGTAAAACATTTAAATAAATAACAACATTATCAATATAAATAACAACAGCTGTAAAACATTTAAATAAATAACAACATTATCAATATAAATAACAACAGTTGTAAAGCATTTAAACAAATAACAACATTATCAATATAAATAATAACAGTTGTAAAACATTTAAATAAATGGTTAAACATCAATAAGATACACAACCTTATATTACTTGATATTTACTACACAACTTGTACAGTTAAATATAGACAGAACAGATGGAGACAAAGTAGATTTATTGCACTTGCCAGCTAAATCACTAGATTTAAATCCTATTAAATTTGCTTGAACTTGATAATTAAACAGATATCAGTCAGAAATTTCTAACTAAAATTAAGAAAAAAATCCTTGCAGAATTAATATGGAGATATTGTAAATACTTGTTGTGTTGCTTATATTTGCTGAAACAATTTTGATATACCACAGTATTTTTATTGATAACTTTATACATAAAAGATTAGCTAAATATCTTCTGCAGCTCCTATTTTATATATTTTTATATTAAAGCACTAAATATTTCATGGATCATTATATGAAAATTTTTTTTACAAATGTTACAGCTAATAACTAAAACAGTTATGGCCAAAAAGATCCAAGCAACCACTATTTAGTATAAATCAAACAACTACTATTTTTTAAGGTATTGCTTGGTGAGCCATAACATATCAAAAGTTAGTAAAAACAGAAAAATTCAAATAGTCATATTATACTTAACCACATATTATATTTAACCATATGTTTAAGAATCTATTTCTGACATCGAAATTGAGTTATGACGACTCTGATTGGCTCGCTATACAGTGGTGCATTTTAAATATTTTGATTTTGCAGATATGAAACTTTCACATGTTGTGCGAACTCCAAATGTATTTTTAAATTATGTCAAATGATGTTTTACAAAAAAAATTGCAGTGATTGTAGCCTGGGAACAAAAATATTCCAAAAGGTTAGCCCCCTTGCCCCAAATGTTAAGCAATAAGTTAATGAAATCAATTATTTTACTATCTCACACCAAATTTAAATTTAAGATTTAAATTTCATCTAATAATTTTTTAGATTTCAAAAGTAAGAATCATGTAGAGTTTGTATCCTCCCCAAAATAAGGGGATTATAAAACTTAAATGGTTAAACTTTTTACCTCTTAAAAGATTATTCCATAAAACCTGCTGATGAAGTTAAGTTTAATATAAAATAATACAAATTGTTAACTAAACCATTGTCCTCACCTTTGGGGTGAGACAACTTTTTTGAGGTACTTTTGTTCCCAGGAACCAGTTACATCTCTGAGGGCTGTTGCTACTTAGCCATCCACCATGGTTATTTCTAGTTGATGTTTATTAAAAATATCATAAGTGTGGTATCCTTTGATATGATTTTGAACAAAATCTTTGTTCTCTTTATCATAAATAAATTGTATAGGTCTGCAGTACAAAATTAATAGAGGCAACTCATTAAGTCATAGAATGTCATCTGTAGCAACTACAGTTAGATGAAGTGGTACCAAGTGAGCCAGGAATAGATTTTTACTAGCAGTAAGCAACCCGTAATACGCGTTAGTTAATAAAATTAAAAAAAACCGCGTATAGAAAAGCCTAGAAACTACTTTAAAATAGAAAAGCCTAGAAAATGACGTAACTCGACTAATATTAAATTAGCGTATTCATATTATCAGATTTTTTAATAGAAATGATAAATATAATAGAAATGATAAACTTCATAGAAATCTTTTGTAAATTTAGTATTTATAATTGACTTTTGCTGTACTGGATTTCAGTGTTTATTTTAAGGTGCCACACTTTTATGATAGCTTTTTACAAATTTGCTTGCAAATTCAAGTTCTGTTTAGAAACCTTTTTTTTTTATTTAAGTCATAGAAGACTTTATTAGAGAAATTACTTTAATTACAGAAGCCAGAATAATTTGGATGTATAACAATTGGTTAACCAGTTTGACTGCAATGGTAGGAAAAAGTATGTTCATTAGATTCAAGAGTCAAATTAAAAAAAAGTTCTTTGCAAATATATCTGCGATATTTTTGGGAGAGGTGATAAGATCAAACCCATGAATGAGAATTTTAAGGAATGTGTGAGTTACCTTGGTAATGACATTCTTGAGAATTTTCTAAAACTCTCTAGAGCCTAACATTGGAAATAAAATTCAAGATTTATAGAATTGCGAATAATGGAATTTAGCACCGGAAATTATTTTTTAAAATTGATTTCTTGCAATAATAAGAAGGCATATGTTATCTTGACATTTTTTTTAATATGAAAAGATTAACTAGGATGAGATACAGCGGCTTCTCAAGAAGCTGAAAACAATGGAGTAGAATGAGGCTTAATTTGGAATTGACAAGAAATAAAAGCTTCCATACCTGACTAGATTTAGGAGGTTATGTAGGAAGTGCGTTTATCAGGGGAGAGAGAGAGAAAAAATCACAAAAAAACCACTGTCAGTTATAGGGTATTAGTAAGTATTGCAATAATAGACCAAAGAAAAAGTACAAGAAGAAAGATTTATAGAGATGATTGTATGGTCAGAACTAGTAGTGTACCAGATATTTTTGTCAGATATTGAACTTTTCTAAAGTTCTATAAGTGTTTATGAAGAAAAAACAAGTCTTGGCATTCTACATTAAATAGTGTTCAAGATTTAAAAAAATAAAATCAAGAAAAAACTGGTATAACACAGGTATATGCATTAATAATGTATAAGGAAAAATGGTTTTTACAACCAAATTTTTGTTTTTTTATTACTATTTTCTATACTTCTTCAGCACATATCGCATTTCATACAGTTTTCCTCTTGATTTTTTAAAGTAAGATCTTGAAAAATATTTATTTTTGACTGGCAAGACATTTTTTTTTCTTCATAAACACTTATAGAACTTTAGAAAAATTCAATATCCGGCATATCCAGCAAAAACATCCGTTACACCTCTAGTCAGAACTAACTAAAAGAGAACTTGTAGAAATTCAACACAAACTAAGGTCAGAGACAAAACACAAATCAAAGAGTGAAGTGTAAGTGTAAGTGATAAGGATTATCTGGAAAATGAGTCAAAAAGAGTAAGAGATTAAGTGCTAGCACGGTCAGTGGTGTAAGACCCAAGCTAGTCAGGGCAATGAGCACTAAAGCCACCAATAACAGCAATATTGGCAGATGAGTAAAGAGAAAGAGCATGGTCAACTTGATCAGAAATTACATCTAAAAGAGTGCAGTCTTGAGAAGAATTATATTATTTTATATAAGCACTAAAATGAAAATAAAAACTTAAACTCGGAGCGAAACTTTTTGTTACGTTTTCAATTATGTATGAAATAAACGTTATTAAAACTTATCTTTTTAAGCATTATTAAAGTTACGCAAAACGTTTTTAAACTAAGTAACAAATTACTACTAATAAATGGTTTAATAAAAAAACAAATTTTATTAAATTTACTAAAAAGTGTTTTATATAATATTTTTAAATTGTATAAAGATTTATTTTATCAAAAAAGTTGCAAAAAAAAAAAATGTTTAAAAAAATAATATAGGCTTTTTAAAATAGTAATTTTTACTAATTTCATTCTCTAATTAGTGAGTCTAATTAAAAAAAAAGGTTTTGAACTTTTTTATTCGTAAAAATAGAAAAAAATAAAAAAATAAAATGTGCCTGCAATTTAAATAAAATAAACTGCCTTTTTCATTTAATTTTAATTTGAGCATTACAACTTTATTAATAAACGCTTCGCGTAACGAATTTAAAAATTATTATAAAAGATTTAATCTCATTCATTTTTAACAAAGTTGAAAAAAAAAAAAAAAAATTGTTTACAAAAAATAAAATGTTTATCTAAAACATTTTAAAAAATTGTAAATTTAATCATAAAAATTAATCGTATAAACATTATAAAATGCTTTAAAACTTTTTCATTAAACCAACAAAATACATGCTTATATTTGTAAATAAAGTTATTTTATATTCTTGTGTAATTCACATAAAATGTATAAAAGTTAGTCGTCACAAAAGCTTTTGAACTTATTCACAAATTAAACTAACTTAAAAAAATTTTTCTAAAAATAATGGTTTAAAAATATTTTAGGAAGACATAAGAAAATAGTTTCAAATGTTTAGACCACTATGAATTGCAAAGTTGTTTCCCGTCCCCGCCCGCCTCGTATTTTAAAATAATACGATTTTGTCCATTAATTGTTTTTTGCATCATTATTCCATTTTTTTTCACTGCCTACTTAATAACGTTACGCAAAAACAAAAAAAAATAATAATACTAACTGAAGGCGAATGTTTATATATCAAAAATAAAAATTAACAAAAATGGAGAATGTTGGCTGGTTTTTCATCGTTGTTAGTTTTTATTTTTGTTAAACATCATGTGCATTTTTAAGTATTGTATTATGCTAAAAGCTTAGATACATCAATACTATCTTATATGCAGTATATTTTCTATATTTAGAAAAAGTGAAATTTTATTTCAAGAGAAAACTAAATCATACCCTTTAAATGTTGTGTAACTGGTTGCGAAGGCAACTATGATAAAAAACATAAAGTAAAACTTTCTGTTACCAGAGAAAGATGGATTCATACAATGCCAAAGGAAAATATTCCAGACAGTACAAATACATTTATTTGCAAAAATCATTGGCCAGTTGATTATGAAACCTGTCAAGTTCATAGTAAAATTTCGTCCTGTAAATCCACCAACTATTTTTATCTGTTTATTACTAAGTCAAATTCCTACACCTCTACCAAAAAAAAGAACAACGACAAAATCACTATCATCTTGTAACAAATGCTGATGAAATTTTATATCACTGGATTTGTATAAAATTAATTGTTTTGATGACCTTTGCAAAAAAGTAAGCAAAGAGAATATTACTTTTCCAGTAATATCCTTTACATTGGATGATGGTTTAATCCAAAGTAAAAATTATATTAATACCTCTATCGTTCGACAGTTTCTTTTAAAAATAAAAAATGAATATGCAACTTGAAGGTTTTCATTGTGGATCTAGATACCCGATTAAACCACTATGCAGTAATCAAATACATAAAATTTTATCTTACTTACAAATTATTAAAGCCAACCAGTTATTAGCATGCATGTATCAACATGTGTTGGTAATAAAAAATATTTACCAGAAATTTTAAGTAGGGCTTTTAAGTATTTTGTAATTTCAAGATCTCTTTAAAATCGTATTACAGATGATTATGAAATGCCAAGTAAGTTGTAACATTTGGTATACTTATATCAAACATTGCTAAATTAGAAGATGTTGATTTCCTTAACAAATATTTTATGCATCTTGAAGATCCTTGTCAAAAAAATATCATTATTATAATTGACGAAGTTTATGCAAAACCACAACTAACATATCAAGGCTGTAATTTATTTGGAAAAGCAGTAAATAATCCAGAACATTTTGCAACCACTGTAATAAGTTTTAAGATTTGCTCATTATTTGGAGGTAAAAATTTTTTTTACAAAGCTCTGCCAGTGTATCATTTAAGTACTGATTTTTAATATGAGCAAGTTGTTGATATGATAAATTTAGTTTCTTCGTGTAATGGCAATACTGTTACAATTTTTTGTGATAATAATAGAGTAAATCAAGCATTCTTTAAAAAATTCATTTTGATTTCTCCATGGAGGACATTGAAAACATTTTTTTGCTCTACGATTATGTCCATCTAATCAAATCTCTTAGAAAAAATTTGGTAAACTGAAAAAATTCAAGAGTTAAAATATTTAGACTGTGGCCTTGAAAAAACTGTTAAGTGGATTGACTTAAAAATACTGTTTGAGTTAGAGAAAAATTCTATTGTTAAACTATCAAAGCTTAATCAAATGTCTATCTATCCGAAACCCATAGAACGACAGAATGTTGCATTAAGTCTTCAGATTTTTTGTGCTGAAACATTAACTGCACTAAAGATTTATCCAGAAATGCAGGATTCATGTGAAACTGTTGATTTTATATTAAAACTTATAGACTTTTTTAAAATCCTTAATGTTAAAAGTCAGTTTGAAGATGTCCGTTTTAAAGATTTTATGATCAGTAATTATAATTTTTACTTGATTTTGCAATTATGTTTGAAAAAATGGCACGAAATTGAACGTTCGCAATAGATTACTTTTTCTTAGTACTAAGAAAAAGTAATGTATTGCGAACGTATTTTCTGTGACCATTATTATATTACGGTATTAGTTATATAGACTATAATCATATTTTATAGAGATTATTACAATAATACTTTTATTTCTTTGTTATTTTTATGTTTTAGAAGAGCAAGAAAGACGTTTCAAATATATTCTGTTTTTTTTTACAAGGTCTTAGAGATATTTTATTTTGTAATAAAACATTGTTTAAAATTTGCACCACATAATTTTATTAAAATTTCATGCTAGAGGTCAATTGTAGTTTTAGTTGAAGAAATTATGAAATGACTATGTTTATAAAATAGTCAAGAAAAATCATAATTCAAAAGCATGTGGTGTAAAGTCAAGACCAAGGACCTAATTTTTAAACTTAAGGCAAGGTCAAGGACTAACAATACTGAAAAAAGTATGAGAACAAAAAAAAAAAAAAATACGCAGTACTAGTCTGAGTGACAAGCCCCATCACGCCTTCATGGTGTACGTTATAATAAAATAAAAACAACTTTATTTTGTACAAAGTCTTGCAAATTTTATTTGCAATATAATACTCAGCCAAGAGCCCCAAGACCAAAGTGTTTTAAGTCAAAGTTTAATTCTCCTCACCTAAAAAAGCAAACCCTACAAGACAGCAGAACGTAAAAGCAGGTAGTACTGGGTTATATGATACCAGTAGCAAGGTGAACGCCATGATCCTGAATCTGACATTTTCTGGAATAATTAAAAAGTGTCTGCAACCCTATTCAATGTCTATAAGCAATACCTTACAGGATATTATGGAAATACATTAGGAAAAACATCACATCTGAAGGAATACAAGAAATTAAGGTGAGCTAACACTACACCAGATATTCAAGCAGAACACAAACATAAATATAGTAATTTATGGGTAAATGAATACTGTGTTAGAGGTTTAAACAAAATACAAAAATACATATATTATTTTTATTAAGTAATTTATTTTAATTACAAATTTCTTTGATATATTTAATTTTTTAAGTATATTAAAACTTTTTTTAATATTTTGCAACTTTCTTTAATACATCACAGTTTTCTTTAATATTACATTATTACTAAATTAATATTATTAAATTTCATTAAAGTATGTGTTATTAGAAAATTAAACAGAGATATAGGGATCAAAAAATAATAAAATAAAGCTTATCAATAAAATTGAATTTTTAAAATTTACACTAACCCAGTTGAAGCTGTTTCCAAGATGGTGAAGGTTCAGGTGTTGCCTCTTTTTCTAAACTGTTCTTCTGTTCAATATTTAAAAGAGCTTTTTTCAAATGTTCACGTTCATCATGACATAAGTTCGTAACAAAGTTATTTGCAGCTAAACTTGAAGTTATCTTTTTGCTATTGTAAATGTCACTTTTAAGAGCATTATAACTAATAAATCTTTGTGAAATGTAAAATTGATTTTTAGATAATATACAAGCCCCACGAGATGCAAAAAAAATTAATTTTGATTTCATGCTTTTAAAAAACTTTCAGCTTCATTTACCAACTATATAAAAATTAAAAATTAAATATTATAGTAAGTAAACAAATAAAAATAAAAATAAGAAAAATTTTAAATATTGTAACTATACTATATGAAATATATAACTATAAATACAATAAAAATAATACAAATATAAAATTAAACTTAATTATGTACAGTAAAAGTAAATGATTGACCTTGAGTATCTATCAGAACAAATCTGGCATTAAAAGGAACTGCACAATTTGACTTCAACATTAATGTTGAAAAACTAAAAACTCCTTTATTCCTGGAAAAAAAGTACACATGAAAACAAAAGTACACACAAAAAAAAGTAAGTAAAGTGTGATATCACTTGCCCATGCATTTAAAAATAATTTTAATATTATTTACCATTACTGAAATGGGAACTTTAATTTCAACTAATAATCTAACACAAGACCATACATTAATTAGTCATATATATATATATATATATATATATATATATATATATATATATATATATATATATATATATATATATATATATATATATATATATATATATATATATACACACATTTTTTAGCAAATTTAGGTGTTCACTGTCTAAATATATATTTTAAATTTTAATTTTTGAAATCAGTTTTTAATCCAGACAGTTTTATGAAATAATGAAAAAATTATTAATGAAAAATCTCAGAACAATATTGGTAAAAAATTTGGTTAACTCATGAAAAAACATGTTTAGATTTATTAAAAATAATTTAAAAGATATAACAAACAGATAAAAATGAGAAACTATAACATCCATTGTTGTATAAACAATTAAAATGTTACAGAACAGTTCAATTTTACAAAAGTAATATAAAAAACTACAAATTTATTTGAAAAAACATTTTAAAAAATATTATTACAAAATATAACTAAAAATATAACTATCTTATAACCAGACAAAAAAAATCAGGAAGCGTTTAATTAGACATTAAAAAACATTGCCAAAAAAATATGTTCAAATTTAAAAACTTAAAATAACAGAACAGTCTTGATGAAACATCAAGTTTCAAATAATTATTATATAAACACTTTGAAAGAACTTTTGTTTTGGACAAAATC